AATATGACGTTTTTCTCCAATTATGTCAAAAATATATATCAAATGTGTGGTAAAAACTCAAAATTGATCTGTGACTTTCAATACTATGTCTAAAAATCTCACAAGTGGAAAACCACTTCATAAGTGAGCTGTTTATTACATTTTTTTTTTTTTCAGTTTCCTTACATTTTTCTGGTTTTGTTGATTATTGATGTTTATTTATGAAATAAACATATTTTTATTTATTTATTTATTCATTTACTTGTGGGGTAAAAAGGAAATTAGGGTGCACAATAAGCCAACAGGCTGCAGTGCATGGAAGGCCATAGCGCCTAGATCCCCCTACAACCAACCATTATAAAATTTGACATACTTCGAAAAAAATTACAAAAGTAAGATTATTTTTCAATATTCGCAAAAAATGTTAAATGCAAAAGCTGTTTTTTCACTAATTTGTCTTATTAATGTACAGATCTTGTTGTTATATATACAGGGTGTCATGAAAGGTTTGTTACAAACTTCTAGGGATCGTAGATCTCGTGAAAATTAAGTTTTTCTTAAATAAAAATTTGTCCAAAAATGCTTCGCTTTCCAGATACAGGGTGTTAAACTTTGTAACAAAAAATCCATTTTTATATTAATTCTTAGAAGTGCCTGCGTTTTAGAAGAAAAGTTTGTTATTGTTTTTTATTTATTTTTAAGCAATGAATAAACTGGTAAAATTTCAGATTATTCTGAATTCATTTTTTTTATGGAGGTCGGTGATGTTCGTGGTTCGCCTAAAATGGTTTTCGAATTTTAACTTGAAAACGAAGCAGCATACGAAAAAAAATGTAGAGACAAAAAAGTTGTATTTTTAAGTGTTCTGTTTAAAAGACATATCCTAATTAAAAATAAATATACTGGGCGATGTTTTTCGTGCGAAAAACCATCCGACATGACCTGTGGGCACGCCCCTCGAATTATTAGGTCAACTCTGAGCAGTCCAAAAAATACCCCATAAAGGTGTCAATAAACTGTGAAAATTTCATTGAATTCGTATAACGCATTTCTGAGAATTAATAAAAAATTGAGTTTTATTTACAAAGTCTAACACCCTGTATCTGGAAAACGAAGCATTTCCGGAGATATGTTTATTGGAAAAAAAAACTTAATTTTCTCAAGATCTATCATCCCTAGAAGTTTGTAACAAACCTTTCGTGACACCCTGTATTTCAACCAATTTAAACAACTTTAAATAACTCTATCATAAATAGATTAATTAAAAAAGACGCGGATGTCTATCTAGTAATTGGTCAATTGATTTGAGAATTATTATTAATATGGTTAAGGGCACTTTCGAAAAACGAATTTTGTTTTGAGATGTTGAAACCAGAAAAACTTTGCATGAAGCAGGAAGTAGGACACACATGTATCACCCTATTTGGAACTAACTTAGATAACTTATCGGGAACTTTTCCAGCAGATGAGAAAATTACATTCAAATTGCTTAATACTGGTTTATTTAAATTTGAAAAAGCCAAAATTCTGTTAGGTTAAAAAACTTGAAAAAATGAGGGGTCAGAATACCTATGTGAAAAATTGAGAGGTGTGTATAGCACTGAAAAAGAAACAGTTTTTGGCTTCTACATTTTATCGAAAATTTGAGAAATCACTTAAATTTCTCTAGTGTTTCTAAAAATATATCATTATTTGACAAGTACTTATACGCGATCCAAAAAAAATCATCGTTTTTTTGCACACACCCGTGATACAATAATGGAATGGAATTTGTTGTATCTCATCCTTTCTCCTTAAGAAAAACGCCGAAGAGTCTAGCAGCATATTGATCTCGAAGAACGAATTAACATTGGGAAAATCAGCCATCGGAAGATTCAAAACAACCATCTTATACACGCCACTGTGGTATTTTATTTTAACTGAATTTCTATAGATAATATCCATATTATTATAAATAACAGGTCTTGCGTATAAATGTGAAATAAGTAGGTAAGTAACTTGATTTCAGTTCTACCATTTTGTCTTATGATCTCAAATACCAGATATCTACTGCATGGAATTGTGCTTCTAGTCAAAATGAAGCGGCTGTCATTTTAACATATTATGTCAGTTTACTCTTATTAATGACCTTCTTCCTATATAAACGGTTCTCCAGATATGTAGGGTGTATGATTTCGAGTTAAGTACATTTCCTTCTTGGGAAAATTTTAATATTCTCACAATAGGCGACACATTTTAATTTTCTGTGCTAACTTTTATGTCTTTTTGCATTTCATCTCTCGAAAATATGTATTGGGTTTCAAAGCAGCCAATGTACCGATGTAAACCAAAACTTCTTTACTTATAAAGGCTCGAAATTACGAAATTATGGAAAATTTTTCTCAAAAGAAAATATGGAGCTGGCGACGACGAAAACAGGGGAAAAAAAACATTGTGTTTCAAGTTTGACCTCTACAATAGTAGTATTTAGCAGAGATAAAAAGTTCGTAAACATTTCCGGACTTTGTGAAATTTCAAAACATGTCAGGTGTATATTGTTTTCATGAATGGAAAAAGATGATAAAAAACTGGCCGACAAATGCACCGCAAGATCTGATTTCAACTAGGAAGTATATATATAATTCAGTAGCACCAGATTGGGGTTCCGACCTTACGTTTCGACTATGCACCCAAAAAAAGGCAGTGGCAAGCACGGGAGAATAGAACTATAGTCCGAGAGTTTATTTGGAATTAAATACCTACTTTTCGAATATCGTTTTATTCTAGTTTCTGTTACAACTTTCCAAGGTTTGAAAATTGATGTAAGCTAATTTAAATATGCGGTTCAAAATATCTTCAAGCAACAATTTTGAACAAATAATGAATCTATTGAATTATTTATCTGATCGGTCCAGAAAACCTATATGCGCCTGACCTATATTCGGGTATCTTGGGCGATCATAAAAAAATTTCAGCTTTTATTGGAAAATGAATTATAAAGGGTGGCTACCCTAAGTGTAGTTGCTGAATTTTATGCAATTTTAATCTATTAATCCGTGTATTTTAATGGAACACAACATGAACATTGAAATGCTGTCGAGTGGAGCTTTTTTTCAAATTGAAAAACCCTGTACCTACCTATATTGTTCCATTTTCGGATGATAAAAATAAAAATATTCAATGCATTTTTTTATAATGGGCCAGATTAGGTCTTATCGAAGGTATATAGCCAAAATTACATACAGGCACAATTTAAGATCGAGCCATCATTTACATTGAATGATAGATATATCCCAATGAAAATAATCTATAGAGGCGATGTATTTGGTCTTCGCGCAATCATTCAAAAGTTATTTGTCAGCTGGGGCTTTATCATGTATTGGTTAACAAAGTTTTGCAACACAGGCCGTAGAAGATCCAAATATTTCTCTGTTGTTAAATATGGACCGATAATAATAATTCTATTTCCCAAAATGTTTAGACAAAATTTCTAGACAAACGCTTTTTCAGGCCTTTGAGTATCCCTATCCGATATTTTGGTATTAACTGTTTCATGTCCGCTAGAAGTACTTCCATCAGCGAAATTTTATCTATCCAGAATCATTCTTTCTTTCGAAATAACCACGTACCTACTTTGAACTTTTCTTGTTTGTAGGAAGGAATAAACGTTTTCTCGGTATCAAATGCAATGTTCGATTCAAAATTTTTGACAATTATAAATACAGAGGTATTCTGGTTTGAGGTGGGAACTGGTGATGTATAGGTGATTATGAAATATTTATGCAAACGATGCACTATCATATTTGTAGGTACCTATTTGACAATCTACCGCAAAATTTTCAGGAGTGTCTTGATACGAAATATCCCTCAAGAAGTACCTATGACAATTTTCATTTGTTCGTTTATTAATGTTGAGATCATTCAAAAAAAATAGATTTCACCACATTCCCCAATCCCCATCAAATGCTTTTTTACAGCTTTTTGGCGAAATTACTTTCTGATGTCAGTTCTAAAAAATGCACACATGCTATATTATTTATTAATAAAATTAATATGCTTTTACATTTTCATATAATCTGAGGTTTCCATCGTATTTTGTTCATTTTTCAAGAAATCTTCAATACTCACTCATGAAAATTGAGAAAAAAGGGATTTTTTTTATTAATAAGTAAATAAATAGGTAACTGGTAATTGTTTGCTAAACCGAAAAACTCACTAATGACGAAAATATAAATGATCATTGATCACCTTGTACTCCGGAACATGGATTCTGACAGTTGAAAAATTTGGCAACTGTTTTTTTTTTTTTTGGAAACGCAACTCAATTTATTAATATCCAACAGAAAAATGTGTTTTTTGTTTTTAAATTATAAATAGGTACCAAATATTGCAAAAGGTATATAGTGAAAATACATGTTCATATCATGTATCTATATTAATTAATTATTTGGGATTTATATAAATATTTCTTAGTCTTTGTTGTAAGTTTTAATTAGTTCTGACATCAATTATTTTGTTCATAAATTGGCATTCGAGAATAATGAAGGCAGAAATCTAATAAATCTCGATTTTGCCAGCTCTCAATAACTATTAAAATTTTATTGTTTGGTCATTGACGGGTAGGTAATATACAAAAATAACTAGATGACTAATTACCAAAGTGAATTATGATCTTGAAAATATTTAAAAATTTATAATAAATGGATTAATATATTCCAAATTATTATTTAATACATATTAACCTTTTACTGACAGGCATACATACATATGCAAAATAATAAAGCAAATTTCTGTTTTTTATAGGTAACCAAATTCCATTTTGAACTTTTAAAACAAATATTTAAATGCTACTGTAAACATCAACATCATTGTTTCTGAGATTTCCATAAAATGATACAAATAAAAAACAGAATGACAATAGGTTTGCCTTATTAAAGTAATTGATAAGTAAAAACTGTTCAAAATATGTAGAAATAAAAAATAGAAGATGCCGGCTGGAAGAACCAAATTTTCTGTTGAGTTTAAGGTTGGTGATTATTTACCTGACATTGAACTGGTATCAGATTTAGCAATAATAGTATGTCCATTGATAGCACTGTATCCGTTTTGTATGATTAAATTTCGGGCATGATTCTGGGCGTTCAAGTCCAAATCCCAGAATTCAAGATCAACCTCTCCAATATCGGTGGAGGCGAGCGAATTGGCTGGACTCATAACCAAAGTGGTCGAAGATGATGTCACTTCCGCACTAGAATCTTCCGGGGTCAGTCTAACTGCTTGCAACCCTGCCCATCTGCGTTTCATTATATTTTCAACAACAGGGTGCGAGGCAATGAAAGTTCGTTTTCTAAATAAAGCACCCCCAGCGAGCCGGGTTTACTGCACAATTCGCACGTTGCTGTCTCCGATTTGACTACTCTCGTTAAACCGAAGCGTACGGCCACGCACCAAAACGAAAACTGTTCCGGGTCAAAACAAAAAATTTCCTCCTACCAATAAGTTAAACGCGCCGCTCGCTCGTTGTTGCGCTAAAGTATGTAAGTGGGTCCTGTTTATCGAAAGTATCTCGGCAAGTAGCGTAAGTCACTCTCGATGAGCCTGGCCTGGCACTCACTGAAGCCGTTCTTGGGTACGCTGTAAAGTAGTGGGGATGGGCTTACTCGCGTGACGTCACAACAGGTTGTTACCTTGTCTTTCCCCTCTGAGCCGCGGCGCATTCCAGCTACTTACCTGATGGCGGTGCGGGAGATGGTAAGGGGGGTAAGCGCCAAGCGGTGCGCCGCCACTGTCACGGCCATCTTGCGATGCACGCCAGAAGAGAGCGACCGCGAGAGACCGACCGTGTTATGTTATATTAACCAAGTTTGCTGCTTTAGGGCACCGATGTTGTCATATCTTAAGCAATGTAGCAACTATAGATTTACCCGAAGACATATGACTTTGAACCTGCATTACCCTTTATTTTGATGATCATTTGTTTTAGGCCCGGTTTGTTCATCTTTAGATAAACTTGCTGGTAACTATCTGCAATGATAAATTCATCGTTTTACCATAATGTTTGCTACATAAGGGGAAATTTTTTATTTGTAGGATATGGAATTTTTTCTTATGTGCGATCGATCCTGCATGTCCGATAACCTTAAAGTATAGTATGACATTGGTCACGTGATCACTGTTGTGGCGGCAAATTCGAAAATTTAGATATGGAAACGCGAAAAGTGGGGTTACATGGCAAAATTTCGAAAAAAGAAATTTGAAAAAAGTGATTGGAACGATGTTTTAGGGCTGTTTGCGAAATTAGGAGGAAGAATAACAAAAAACAAGAAATTACTTGTTTTTAGCCATGGATCTCTTATCAAATATTATTATACAATTGTTATTATTGAAATAGTGCAAGTAACTCAATATTTGATGTGTATTGATAAAAAAAACTTAAATTCTTCATCGGAATGATTCCTAGAGGATTAAATAAAAATACCTATTTGACTAGCACATGAAACTCTTCTGTAGCAATACCCTTTGAAAATTTCTGAGTTTTCCAATAACTTAATGTTGATACAACAATTGAAAAGATTCGTTATTGAGATTTTTTATTAAATATTTCAATACAGTTGTAAAACACCTTACTTAATAACTGTCCAGATACAGGGTATTGCTACAGAAGTTTCATGTGCTAATCAATAATTTTTATTTAATTCTCTAGGAATGATTCCAATGAATAATTAAAGTTTGTTTTAACAATATACATTAAATATTAAGATACTTGGACTATTTCAATAATGAAAACTGAATAATATCAGTTGATAAGAGATCCATGGCGAAAAACAAGTAGGTAATTTCCTGTTTTTTGTTGTTTTTCCTCCAAACTTCGCAGACAGCCCTAAAACATCGTTCTAATCACTTTTTTCAAATAACTTTTTCCGCAAATTTTGCCATTTAACCCCACTTTTCGCATTTCCATATCTAAATTTTCGAATTTGCCGCGACAACAGTGATCAGGTGACCAATGTCAAAATGTACTTTCAGGTTATCGAACATGCAGGATTGACCGCACATAAGAAAAAATTCCATATCCTATAAATAAAAAATTTCCTCATGTGTAGCGAACATCATAGGGGACACTGTATAATTCGGCGGATCAATGAGATTACAGATTGCGTTTTTATCCGTCAGATTGCATACCTGACAGTTTATCAGATCGTGAATAAACCGGCACTTAGCCTTATACTTCACTGCTCGTTATCTCGGAATAAAGGTAATGCAAGTCCAAAGTCAAATAAATACCTACCTAATTCCGTATTACCTACCAATTTCAAACAAAAATACATTCAGAGGTACTCCTTCTGCAGCCAAGTGTGTATTGATGAATTTAAGTCAATTGTTTTTTCTTGATCAACCCCTCAGAATTGATGTCTTCTCATTGCTCAACGATAATAGTAAAGGCAACCAAACATTCACTGAGACTGAGAAAGTCTCACCTAGGAAATGCAGTTTTTCGAAATGAAGCGTATTAGAAAAGTCACGGTCAGCTTTTTTGTTGTTTGTCAAGTTGTTAAGGATGAAAGAGTTATTGTTGATGAAAATGCTACCAGTGACAGACACAGGAATCAACGACAGAAACCCATCAAAATTGCTAATTGCGACTAACTAATATTATAAATGCGAATGTGAGTTTGTTTGTTTGCTTTTCTGAGTAAACTACTAAACCGTTCATCATGAAATTTTGTGCACATATTCTCAAGAATCTAGTAAGTCTAATAAAGAACATACGACACTTTTCATGAAAAATGACAATATTGAAAAATAATAATAATAATTGAATTAATTATGAACAAACTAATTCACATACATAACTCAACTTTTGGAATGCGTTCGAAAAAGAGGTAAATTTCACCATCGGGTGAGAGTGGGTATATGGTCACGTGATCAGAGCCGGTTTCTCAATAGCAAGTCTGTTATTTCATTGAACCAAAAATGTTTAATGTCTACCATGACGATGACGAAGGACGAAGGCTGAAAGTCCTTCGTCAAAGTTTAAGCCTGAATGCCGCAAAGTTAAGCCCGAATGCACGCATTTGATCTTCCGAATTTCGAAAATTAAGCAGCCACTGAAGGGCAGAATATTCGGGAGAATCCTTCTATAGAAAAAACTGAGGTAATTTTCTCACTACTCCCAGAAGCTCCTTTCGGGAACCTTTACTCAAATATCCGATCACCCTTTCAATTTCGGAAAAGAACAGATCCTATCCAGCTTTGTGATGCGTCGGTCGGTGTCTAACACGAAGACTCCTTCATCCATGGGATAGGTATGCTAAGAATGGTCAATCTATTTTCCAGCTTCACGATCGACCATGGATAGTCTGGTTTTCAATCAAAGTGCCCGTTCTTCTCAGTTATTTGATGTATCCTTGAAAAGATGGCAATATTCACTGAAGTCCTAGGACTTCATTGGTCTGGTCCTTAAACCGCCTGGGGTTTTTTCTTGGTGTGTCTCATTTCCTTTTGAAGATACGACATGTCGATTCAAATTCATAATAGGGGGTGTCTATATTCCGCCAAGTATGCTTGAAATTTACTATAACACACATTGCGAGGCAGAAAAAAGTATTTTCCAAAACTATGATTTTCAGAAGATCTATATTTTCGGTGATTACAATCTCCCAGAAGCTCTCTGGTCCAATGACGAATGTGGAGTGCATGTTGAATGTCCAGCATCTTGCGTGTTGCTCAGTCTTTTGGATACTTACAGCTTTTCGAAAAGATAACTATCTATATACATAAAAATCAATGTTCGCGGGATATCCGGATATGCGCTCCTACACCACTTATCCGATTACGATGAAACTTTGATAGATTGTTATGGCCATCCCAAGGAAGGTTTGTGGATAGGTTACGCATCTCGGAAAAAGAAATTAATTTTGAATTAATTTTTAATTTAATTTAACAAACTCATTCACATTACATAACAACATAACCCAACTTTTTTTTGACAGCATGAAACAACGGTGCCACATTTCATTTATTTAGGCTTGCCATTCAACCGACGTAACTTTATTATTTTTTGAATTCGAGAAAAACTGGACCGATCTTGAATTTAATACCACGTATCTCTATATACGCTGGATTCGATTGACCCAGATTAGATCGATTTGTGTTCAATTTAAGTGAACTTCTTCTGATCTAGATCATTTTTTTGTTGATGAGGGTGCACTGATCCAGGCTCAATCGAACACAGCGTGGTTCACTTAAATTGAACCAGATCGATCTAATCCGGTCAATCGAATTCGGCTAAAGAGGGGAGTGCTATAGGCTATTTTTTATCCCGAAAAAAAAAGTTCGGTTGCGCGAAACACTGGATCGCCTATAAACAGCCCGGGGCGCTCTAGAACAGCTATGGAGTGCTTAAAATGCATCACTGAACTCACTGACAAGCGACTCTGGTATCGGATAAAAAAAAAAATAGAAATGCAACAACAAAATTTGAAAAAAAGTGTATTATTTCAAAATGTATTTTCACGCTGGCAACGCAGCGGGTCGTTAGCTAGTACCTAATAAGAGAGACACGCTTTTGGATCTTGCCTTTACAAATGATGAAAGTGTAAATATAACTATAGCTAGTAACCCAATTTTTGATGATAGTTTGGATCATCTTACAAATGTGTTATAAGGATCCTGGATGGAAGGCAGATGGACGATATTCTACATTGTGAGGACTTCTAATATGACTTCAAAAACTTTTGGGTTTAAACAATTTTTTGGGTGGTGTTAACTCTGAGCAGTGCTTGCAAAATTTTGATATTAATTTAGCTTTAGAAACCTTTCATGAGACTTTAGGTATAAGTATTGCCTATTTTGTACCCGTCAGGAAGTACCAGTCTGGCTCTTTTCCTAAATGGTTCTCACCAGAGTTGAAATATCTTACGATTCAAAAGAGAAACAAACATAGAACCTATGTGGAGTCTAAGTCTGCTTTGGACTATACTGAGTTTTCCAGGTTGAGGTCAGAGTGTAAACAGTGTCGTAAGATCTGCTGGTCTCAGTATATGTCAAAAGTGGATAGGTACTGAATTTAAAACTAATCCAAAATACTTTTAGAAGTACATAAGAGATTTGAAAACAAATAATGACCTTTCGCAAATTATGAATTTGGGAGAGAATAGAGCTGATAATGGGCAAGATATTGTTGCATTATTTAAAAAATACTTTGAGACTGTTTATACCCCGGGGGACTTGGATGATTCGCTGGACTTGGGAACTCCCTTGAATATTTCGGAGAATTTCAGGCTTGCACATATTTGTAGAGA